TAAATAAACTGCTGGAATCCAGATGTTGGAATATTATTCAGTGCTAAAAAGAAATAAGCTCTCAAGGCATGAAAAATATGGAATAACTTTAAATACATATTATTATGCATAAAGAGGCAATCTGAAGAGTTTTATGTACTGTATGATTTGAAGCATATAACAATCTGTAAAGGCAAAATTATAGAGACAGTACAAAGACCAGTGATTTCCAAAGGCTGTAGGGGGAGAAATAAATCGGCATACTACAGAGGACTTTCAGGACAATTAAGACACTCTGTACAATACTATAATGATAGATACATGCCATTGTACCATTGTCCAAACCCATGGAATGCACAACACCAAGCGTGAACCAGAATGTAAACCATGGATGTTCGGAGATGAGGTATCAACACAGGTTCATCAATTATTACAAATATACCAGACTGGTGGGGGTGTTGATAATGGGGGAGCTATGCAATGTGGGGGCAGGAGCTTACTGGGAAATCTCTGGACCTTCCCCTTTATATTTCTGTGCTCCTAAAAGTGCTCTAACAAATGAAGTCTTTAAATAAATACTCAATATGAACAACGAAATCTAAACAAAAGAAAACAAACAAAACAAAACAAAAAGAGAGAAAGCCCTGGGGGAGACTGAAGACTGTGGTGAGCTAGTATTTGTGTTTTGGGTAGGGTGTGGGAGCAGGTAGTTGGGAGGGGCAGTAGGCTGCATGGTGCAGATCACAGGATGGTAGGAGGGAAGATTTTAAGCTCCTGTCCCTACTTCACTGCACAAATCTGAAGCCCAGAGACCACACATGCCGGGAGCACTGGGACAATACTAGCACAGACTGGCCTTTCAAAATCATTACCTTAATAGAATATTAATAGAAGTAGAAAAGCAAGCATTCTTTCATCAAATAACTTATACACTATATAAGGTATAAATATACATGACAAACATGCATGCATACATACATGTTTATTATATGGTATGCATATATATGGGTATATAAGCACATCTAATCTACATTGATGATATATCTATCTATCTATCTATCTATATAGTACACACACATACACACACACTAGGTAGAGAGGTAAAACGTATTAAAACGAATAAATCAAAAAGTGAAAAGCCTGCAGTCCAAAGGCAAAAGCATATTACTGCAAATCTTCAGCACGTCCCGAATTTCTTGTGGATGCTCAGCATCTCCAGTAAAAAAGCAAACTTTTAGGACACACTGTTTCCAAAGTCTCAGTCGGACTGGTGAAGAGAAACTATGAGAAGGGAGGTTTCTCCTCTAACCCTCCCCCACGGTCACAGGCATTGCAGCTGCCCCTGTGGCATCTGTCCTGGGACTGCAGTGTTCTCCTCCAGATTTGTAAGTACCCTTGGTGTGAGTAAGGAGGGGGCTACCTGCCCCAGATCAGAGGGCTTTGCAGAATCTCTCCAGGCGCTACTGCCAGCTCTGGGACCCGCGGTCAGGGCTGTCAGGCTGAGCACCCCACCAGCACCTCCTCCGGGAACTCGGGGAGTCAGGACCTTGGTATGAGGGGCACAGGCTCAGGACCGCTGAGGATGCGGGTCCAGGACTTGCCGGGTCAAGGGCGAGACCTGGGGGAGGACTGCAGGAACACTACGGAACCAAGTGTCGTCCCTCCTGTCAGGCCTGGGGGACCCCAGAAGTGCATTCCGGATGTGACGTGCACTGACTTCCGTCCAGGAGGTCTGAGAGCTGAGGACCACGTCTAGGAGGCCGGCTTCAGGTCGGAACAGGGAAGGAGCTCAGTCCGGCAGAGATTCAAGGTAGGACCCTGAGGGAAGACGGAGGGCCCCCACAGAATCCAGGGTGAGCCAGTGTCAGCACGGAGAGTCCCCGGGGCTGGGCCGTCGGGCCGAAAACTACCCCACCGCCACCGAACCGCACCCTCCATAGAGACTCCGGAAGTCCAGGACAACATCTGAGGGTAGCAACCGCAGGTCAGCAGGGGGAGGGCCCAGGCCGTGCCCGAGACAAGGAGAGGACCCTAAGTGAGATTGAGGGACCCTGGACGCCA